ATGTATATCTGAAGTACTTAAATATATGACCTAGCAAGTGTAATTCAAGAACTAAAGAACTACATAGCTAGGGTTCTGAAATTCATGCAAGAAACCAAGTAATAACATGATAATCTGATTTGGAATATTTAAATAACTAATTCATGAAAATCTGCTGAAGTTCTAGAAACCCTAGGTCTAGTTAATAATAGTGAATCAAGAATCTGACTGAATACTAGGGACCTAATGGGCAAAAGGAACCCACTAGTGAAATCCAACATACTTGGTGATGAATTCCACGGAGAAATCTTTTGATTTTGGAGCTGGAACTGATGGGATCCTGTTGTATTCTTAAACTAGGGTTCTTGACTTCTTTCTCCTCTTACGTTCTAATTTTTCTATGTTATGAAGAATGATTTGACTTAGGTAAGTTCTAGTTATGTTTCTAGGCTAAAACCAATCAAAACCACGTAGTTTAGGGTTAAAACTATGTAATTTAGGGGTCCAACGAAATAGGAAAAGACCAAAAGACCCCTGACTTAAACTGCAGGCGGGGTTGACCACGGCCACTTTCATGGACCGTGAAAGGGACCAGGGACTGGTTGTGGTCCTTGGCCAGTAACTACTAGTCTGGGGGTCTGTCTTACGAGCCTTACCATAGCCCGTGTGAGGGACCACAGACCGTGAAGGTCCTCATGGTCCTCACTTGGGCAGAGGTCTGGTGGCTCAGGATTAGGGGTCCACTGGCTAGGCTTCTATAGACCCTCCCACGAACCGTGTGGAGGACCACAGACCGTGAAGGTCCTCGTGGTCTTCACTTGGGCGTGATGGTCTAAGGGACTGGCTAGGGGGGCTACTGCCTTGACTCTACGGATGCCACCACGGCCTGTGAAGGATCCCATGGTCTGATGTCTGATCCTAGTGGGATCCAACTCCCCACCACGGGCAGGTCAACAAACCGTGGATCCTATCACGGTCCGTGAACCCTGCAGTGGTTCACTGCTTCAGGAACTTTTCTGCTTTTTTTCCTAGGCCTGGTTTTTGAGGTATTACAATCTTGGGGTATTTCTTTCCCCGAGAACTGAGAGAGGCCAAGGTACCTAAGTGTTCATGAGTATAGCTTGAAGTTCACCCAACTTTCCCGATATGCCTAAGAGATGGTTGCGGATATGAGAAGCAGGATGAGTTTATATGTTGCTGGATTGTCTCTTCTGTGGAGTAAAGAAGGCAAGGCTGTGATGCTAATAGGTGACATGGGTATAGAAAGGTTGATGGTTTATGTGCAGCAGGATGAGGAAGAAAATCTAAGGGATAGGAAAGAGTTTAGAACAATAAAGTGAAGACAGTGAATGAGTCTGGGAAGCAAAGAAATAATGTGAACCGGTCTTCTTTTCAGCAAAAGCAAAAAGGACCTACTCCATCATCTGGTAGTGCAACTGCACCAAGAAACAAAGGTGAGTACAATAGTAAAAAATTCCCAGCATTTCAGAGCTAGACCTGCACAATCTCAGGGTAGTGTGGCACAAGGAGGTAACTGGCTCTTGTATGTGCTAAATATGGTAGGACCCACCCATGTAAATGTCGCGATGGCTGAACAGGTTGTTTCAAGTGTGGACAAGAGTGTCACTTCATAAAGGAGTGCCCTAAGAACCGACAAGGTAATGGAAATCAGGGCAATAGAGCCCAATATTTCATGAGTTGCTCCACCAGACGGGGCTGCACCTAGAAGAGCTACTTTCGGTACTGGCGGAGGGGCAAACCGCCTTTATGCGATCACTAGTCGTCAAAAGCAAGAGAATTTTCTGGATGTTGTCACTAGTATGATCAAAGTCTTTACTATTAATGTTTATGCTTTGCTAGACCCAAGAGTGAGTTTATCTTTTGTGACTCCTTATGTTGCAATGAAATTTGATGTTCTTCCTAAGAAACTTTGTGAACGCTTTTGTGTTTCTATACCTATTGGGGAGTCTATTCTAGCAGAGCGAGTATATCGTGATTGTGTCATTTTCATCAATCAAAAGAACACCATGGCTGATTTAGTTGAGTTAGACATGATAGATTTCGATGTCATTCTAGGTATAGACTGGCTTCATGCCTATTATGCCTTCATTGATTGTAGAACTCGAGTCGTTAGGTTCCAAATTCCTAATGAGCCAGTTATAGAGTGGAAGAGTAGTTCAGTAGTGCCTAAGGGTCATTTTATTTCGTACCTTAAGGCAAGAAAGTGTCCGAGTTAACTACTTTAGTGTTGAGATACCTCATATTGAGTAAGTTCCAGTTGTGAGTGAGTTTCCAGAAGTCATTCCTCATGATCTACCCGGAGTCCCTCCTGAGAGAGATATAGACTTTGGCATAGACATTCTTCCAGATACTCGTCCTATCTCTATTCCGCCATATAGAATGGCACCTGCAGAGTTGAAAGAGTTAAAAGAACAGTTGAAAGATTTCCTTGATAAGGGTTTTATTTGACCAAGTGTCTCAGCTTGGGGCGCTCCGTTCTTATTTGTGAGGAAGAAGGATGGTTCCCTTAGGGTGTGTATAGATAACCGTCAGTTGAACAAGGTTTCCATCAAGAATAAGTACCCTCTTCCAAGAATTGATGATCTTTTCAATCAGCTTCATGGTGCTTCTTGTTTTTCTAAGATAGACCTTAGATCAAGCTACCATCAGCTGAAAGTAAGGGAATGTGATATTCCAAAGATAGCATTCAGGACCCGTTATGGTCATTATGAGTTTCTGGTCATGTCATTCGGTTTAACCAATGCATCTGCAGAGTTCATGGACCTTAAGAATAGAGTATTCAAGCCTTATTTAGATATTTTTGTTATCGTGTTTATTGATGACATTGTAATCTCTTTGAGGAATGAGAAAGATCATGATAGTCATCTCAGAATAGTTCTCTAAACTCTAAAAAATAAGGAGTTGTATGCTAAATTCTCTAAATGTTAGTTTTGTCTTGATTCCATGGCATTCTCGGGCCACATAGTTTCTGGTGATGGAATTGGAGTTGACACTCAAAAGATAGAAGCAGTGCAAAATTGGCCTAGACCCACATCTCCAACTGATATTAGAAGTTTCTTGGAGTTGGCTGATGAGTTCATGATTTGGACTCATTTAGGGCTTTATTTGGATAGATTTGTGTCCTCAAATGCTTATTTTGTGCTAACAAGTGATGTAAAACCATTGATTTTCAGACACATGGATTGAGGAACAAAGCAGGGACATAAATGGGAAATAGAGACACCACGAGCAAGAAAGAGAAGGGAAGGACAAGCCTGATGATCGTCTATGTCACTCGGCGATTCGCCAAGTTGCCACCCTATTGCCTAAATTTACAGAACTCTGAGGCTGAATTAGGGGTAACTTTGGCTAGCATCAGTTCCACTCTACGTTTCACCGATCGCCTCAGCGAAGGATGACCAGGTCGCCAAAGGCACTGATAAAGATCTAGATAAGTGCCGATGGGCGAGTGGAAAGGAGAAAGGGCATATCGCGAAATCACTCGGTGATCCCAATCTGGCTCACCTAAAATTATAGTAGCAGGACTAAGAAGAGGTGAAAAATGAAGGCGAGATGAAGGGAAATCGGTGAGTTGCCGAACAGTCGGCAAAGCACGACTTACCTCACCAATTGGTCCCAAACAGCTTCGCATCAGACTTGCATAAATTGATTTTTGGAGGAGAGAGAAGGAATTTAGAAACTTGAGGAACATCATAGTGAGAGTGAAAACACTACTATTGTGGACTTCAAGTGATTTTAGCAAGGTTTTTTATTGAAATTTTGTATTAGAGAAGATTGTATTGGATTTTAACTTTCAATTTTCATTTTTACCTAGCTATGAAAACATAGCAGATGTTGATTTTCCTCTTTTTGCTATGATTGGCTAAAACCCTCTCCTTGGGGTTTTGACTATGTGACCAATTGTTGAGTTTTACTAAGTGGGTGTCATCGATTTGTGAATAATGGTGTTAATTTGAAGTGGGTCTGAATTGCTGCTACGTTTTGTGGTCATCTTGCATGATTAGTGTAATTAAGGGTTGGGCATCTTCCATCTAGTGTTGAAGGTCGAGAGAATTCAGCAAAGATAAGGTAATTGTTCGAGACAAAATTGTTTTACATATAGTCCGACCTACTCACGACAATTTATCCCATTGTGAGCATCAATGTTCATCCACTAAGTTGAATTCAATAATTGGTTGGTCAATTCCCCAAGTGTTACCTCATTATTTGATCAATTTGTGTTAAGTGTTGAATTGGATTGAGAATTGCAACTTGAAATTTGAAGCTTAAACCAAAAAGGTGCAGTAAGTGTTCAGTTGAAGAGATTGTTGTCATATTTCTATAATTAAATTTGAAGGAAAAGCTACTCTCTGTGGGATCGACCCCAACTCATTTAGTTGGGTTATATACTGACTAGCAAATGTTGACACTTAGAACCAGATGAAGTGTCTTTGGAACGTTAATCAAAATGGCGCCATTGCTGAGGAGTAGTGTTACTTAGAATTCTTTGATTGAAGATTTGATTTGAGAATTGTTTGACTGTAGTTGAATTGGGTTAGGCTGTATTGTCTAGTGTTGGTTGAAGTACATTGAAGTAAAAATGAGTGAGGAAGAGGTGAACGGTAGTCAAGCAGGTCATCGGGACGGTATCGATGATATCAATAGTGTTTACAACCCATTTCATGCAAGCAAAATGGGTGCAATTTGCATACCATAAGCTGATTGGAATGCAATATTTGAGGTTACTGGCACGATTTTTCATCTCTTCAAAATGAGAGGACTCTATGGAGGGTTAGAGCACGAAGACCCGCATGAGCATGTAAGAAGTTTTACAGAGGTGTGGAGCCTGTTGTCATTCAAGAATGTGACACAAGAGTCAATCTGGCTTCAATTATTTCCACTATCTTTGACGGGGGAAGCTAGCAAGTGGTTGACCGAGTTACCGAACAACTCCATCACATCATGGTAGGAGTTAATTATAGCATTTAATACAAGATTCTTTCCCCCCATCAAAGATGATGAACCTCAGAGACGACATTCAAGGTTTCAAGCGACGAGAGGGTGAACCCATCCATGAAACATGGATGAGATTTAAGAAACTCTTCCTTAAATGCTCAACTCACGGGTTACCAAACGATTAACTACTCGAATATTTTTACCGAAGTATTGATTCAGTTAATAAAGGGGTGGCTGATCAATGGGTACGAGGGGGAATAATGTTGCAATCATTTGAGGTGGCTTCATTTCTTCTTGATGACATGACTAAAATAAATCAAGTGTGGTACACCCAAGAGGATCAAGTCTCTCTGTTTTGTTTTAGATTGACACAAGAACAACTTGATAAAGAGAGAGAGGGGGATGAAAACATCAAGAAGATGTTGACCAAAAAAAGTTACTACAAGAACATATGATGGAGAATGTGGAAACGCCAAAGGGGACATGTGGAGTGTTTAGACTTGAGAAGAGTTCTTTCTCTGGTTACTCAAGGCCGGGGGATAATTAAGGTTGGAACTCCAAGATATACGATGAGGGTTTCCACCCACGCTATGTACATCGGGGTGGGAATCAAGGTTGGAACTATCACAAGGGGGAAGAGCAAAGAAGACACTATCAAGATTGGGCCGAGTAAAGTGACTATTGGAGAAGGGAGGAAGACCATGAAGAGGACCACACTCACTCAAGTGAGAGCCCAAAATCGAAAGAAAGTGCAAGTAGTTCCCAAGTTAATGATTTTCTATCACGCATCCTTGATAAAGTTGAAGGTTCGGATGACTTGTTAAAAGGGATAAAAACTAACTTTTCATCATTGAACAATAAAGTGAACTCTCAGGCAGATGCAATCAAGATACTTGAAGGTCAGTTGAGTTTACTTTCTGCACAATTGAAACCAAAGATAACAATGGAAGATTATGATAGAGGGTTGGCTGTGGTTACTCGTAGTGGAAAGATAGCAATAGGCAATGAAGAAGCTCAAATGAATGAAGAAGACAAAGGTATAGAGGAAGAAGAGACACAAAAAGATATGGAGAAACACAATCCCACCCCAAAAGTTATGCAACCTTTACCCAAAATATCACCTCTCTTTCCCCAACGTCTCAAGAAGAAGAATGAGGATGAGAAGTTCAAGAAGTTTTTATCGGTGTTCAAGACTCTATCAATTAATATCCCTCTCATTCAAGCATTGTTAGAAATGCTGGGTTATGCCAAGTTTATGAAGGAGTTAGTCACAAAGAAAAGGAGCTTGGATTTTGAGACCATTGAAGTTTCCTATAGTTGTAGTGCAATTATGACTAAGGAGCTGATAAAAAGAGAGATGATCTAGGAGCGTTCACCATCTCTTGCACCATCGGCATGCTCCAATTTGCTAAAGCCCTATGTGATTTGGGAGCAAGCATCAACTTGATGCCATATGTGATCTATAAACAACTTGGGTTGGGAAACCAAAAGCCACAACAATGAGACTCTTGATGGCGGACCTATCAATTAAACATCATGTGGGGATACTAAATGACATATTGGTAAAGGTTGAATGATTTATTTTCCCAGCTGATTTTTTCATTCTAGATTGTGAAATAGATGTTGAAATTCCCATCATTTTGGGAAGACCATTCTTGGAAATCAGAAGAGTGTTGGTGGATGTTGAGAGCGGACAATTGAAGTTTCGGGTGAATGAAGATGAAGTAACCTTTAATGTGTGTAAGTTAATGAAACACCCAAGTGATATTCACGTGGTCTCCATTGTTGATGTTATTGATAAGGTGGTGGCTAGTGTGAGCCATTTGCCACTTGAAGTCGTGCTTGCTAACTATGATGAGGTCAAAATTCAAGGTTACGAAGAGGTAGTAGAGGCTCTATCAGGTTTGGGGGGTATTCAAACACTCTGTTGAAGTTGGACATTGATTTAAAAACTCGAGAAAGTCCTCCTGCAAAGCCATCAACAGAAGAACCACCAAATCTAGAGTTGAAAGTACTTACCTCCTATCTCCAATATGCTTTCTTGGGGGTAAATAACAGTTTACCGGTGATTATTGCAGCTGATTTTCTTGATTGGTAGATAAAATTGCACCTTGAGATGTTGAGAAGGCATATTAAAGTTATAGGGTGGACTATCGCTGGCATAGTGGGCATTCCTCCTTGTATTTGCACTCACAAAATTTAGCTTGATAGTTATTGTAAGCCAAGTGTTGAACATCAACAGAGATTGAACCCACCGATGCAAGAGGTGGTGAAAAAGGAGATAATAAAGTGGTTGGACGAAGGTGTGATCTACCCTAATACATATAATTAAATGGGTAAGTATCGTACAATGTGTACCAAAAAAAGGAGGCATCACGGTAGTCCCAAATGAAAAAGGGGAGTTGGTATCTATGAGACCGATGATCGGGTGGAGAGTATGCATGGATTACCTGAAGCTAAATTCGTGGACTAAAAAAGTTCAGTTTCCCATGCCCTTTATAGATCAAATGCTTGATCGACTCTCTGAGAGAGGTTGGTATTGCTTTTTGGATAGGTATTTCGGCTATAACCAAATCTCTATTACTCCGGAGGACCACGAGAAAACATCATTTACATGCCCATATGGTACTTTTTCCTTCAAACGGATGCCATTTGGACTATGTAATGCTCCGGCTACATTTTAATGTTGCATGTTATCTATATTTGTTGACATGGTGGAGGATTCAATGGAAGTATTTATGGATGACTTCTCAGTTATGGGTGACACTTTTGAAGCATGTTTAGAGCACTTAGGACAAGTCCTCCAAATATGTGTGGAGACAAATTTAGTCCTGGATTGGGAAAAATGTCATTTCATGGTTAAGAAAGGTATAGTGCTTGGTCACAAAGTGTCGCAAAAGGGGCAGGAGGTTGACAAAGCAAAGATTGAAGTGATTGAGAAGTTACCATCACCAATTTCTATGAAGGGTGTTCAGAGTTTTTTGGGACATGCTGGCTTTTACCGGAGGTTCATCAAAGACGTCTCAAATATTGCACATCCTCTACGCAAACTATTGGAGAAAGAGGTGAAATTCCACTTTGATGATGCTTGCATGGTAGCTTTCATGTGCTTGAAAGAAAAAATGGTTTCCACCGCGATCATCATTAGTCCTAATTGGTTAGAATCTTTCGAAGTAATGTATGATGCAAGCGGCACGACATTAGGTGTGGTATTGGGGTAAAAACGCTACAAACTTTTTCACCCCATTTACTACGTAAGCAAAACTCTAAACAGTGTTCAATGTAACTATACAGTTACTGAACAAGAGTTACATGTGGTAGTTTATGAGTTTGAGAAGTTCCAGACATACTTGTTATGTACTAAAGTGATTATTCACACTGATCATGATGCACTGCATTACCTAATGGCTAAGAAAGATACCAAGACAAGATTGATAAGGTGGGTGCTTTTATTGCAAGAATTCGACTTTGGGGTCAAAGATACAAAAGGTTGTGAAAATCAGGTGGCAGACCACTTATCAAGATTAGAAGGAAAGGAGAATGACAAGCTAGAGATCGACATAAATGATGTTTTTCCCGATGAGCAGGTATTCACGATAACTCTCAAACAACCTTCTTGGTATGCTGATTTTGCCAAGTATGTAGTGTGTGGATTAATGCCAGACGAACTGAACTTCTACCAATAAAAGAGGTTCTTGTTCGATGTTAAAAAGTACTTTTGGAATGAACCATATTTATTTAGAGAGTGTGCCCATATCATTAGAAGATGTGTTCTGGAAGAAGAAGCCATTGAAATTTTCCATGCTTGTCATGTTTCACCAGTTAGAGGTCATCATGGTGGTGTACATACAACTGCTAAAGTTCTACAAAGCGGGTAATACTGGTCGTCTCTCTACAAAGATGCTCATGAATTTGTTAAGAAGTGTACTTAATGTCAAAAATAAGGTGGAGTGTCCAAAAGACACGAGTTGCCTCTTACACCATTTTAGAAGTTGAGCTATTTGATGTTTGGGGAATAGATTTTATGGACCCATTTATGAGTTCATTTGGTAATAGTATATCTTAGAGGCTGTAGTTTATGTTTCCAAATGGGTGGAGGCTATTGCACTTCCAAACAATGAGGGAAAAAATGTTGTTCAATTCCTGAAACGCTATATCTTTGCGAGATTTGGTACACCTTGGGCTATTATTAGTGATGGGGAATCCCACTTTTCCAACAAGTGGTTCTTAGCTACATTGAGCAAGTATGGAGTGAAACACAAAGTTGGAACTCCGTACCATCCCCTAATGAGTGGCAAGGTCGAAGTGCCAAACCGAGAGATCAAAAGCATCTTGGCTAAGACAGTGAATGCTAATAAAACTCATTGGTCTTGAAAGCTTGATGATGCACTATGGGCGTATCGTACCGCATACAAAACACCAATCGGTATGTCTCCGTATTAGTTATTTGGTAAATCTTTCCATCTACCAGTTGAATTAGAATACAAAGCATTGTGGGCATTGAATGCTTTAAATTTGGACTGGACAAAGACCTCAAAAAAAAGAGTAGACTAGTTAAATGAGTTAGACGAATTCAGATTCAAAGCCTATGAAGGTTCAGCCCTTTACAAGGAAAAGATGAAGAAATGGCATGATGCTAATATCCTTAAGAGGGAGTTCAGAGTGAGAGATTGGGTGTTACTATACAACTCTTGACTAAGACTTTTTCCAAGAAAGCTCAAGTCCAAATGGTCAGGACCGTTTAGAGTGACACGAGTGTTCACCAATGGTGCCATCAAAGTTGAAGGTCAAGAAGGACATGCATTTAAGGTAAATGGGCAACGCTTGAAGTTATACTTTAGCGAGTGACAAGAGATTTCTCTGAATTAGGTGGTGTACCTAGAAGATACTTGAAAGCATTTCCACATCGTGCCACGACGTTAAATAAGGCGCTTCTTGAGAGGCAACCCAAATTTTAGTTTTTTAAAATAATGTGTGTTGATTGTGTAAGTGCAGGATTTTGTGCGAGAGGAAAATTCTATTGGCGAATCGCCAAACCTGTTCGGCGAGCACGACATAATCCACCCTATGGACTTCAAAGATGGAGCTGAGATTCTGGAACATTCGGCGGGAGGCCTTCATCACTTGGAGAATCGCCAATATGCTTAGGCGACCCAATTTTTCTCGCCCTTT